CTAAGGAAATTTATATTGAACCGGTTCACTTTTTGGTTTCCATGGTTTTACTATGGGCGGATGACAAGTTTTCGGGTGAATTTTTTTTTCAGGCGAAACTCAGGATAAGGCAGATTATTTAGAAAATACGAGTAATTACATTTAATTTGATATACATATATAAAACACCTTTCTGCGTACGCGGCCTTCGGCCGCGCTTAGGCATTATAACCCTCCCTAAGTATGATTCTCCTTTCTGTGCTGCCGAAAAGAGGGGCGAACACCTTTTGCAGAGAAAACCTTTCTGCGGAGGCGGCCTTCGGCCGCGCTTAGGGATTATCACCCTCGCTAAGTAGAATTCTCCTTTCTGTGTTGCCGACGACGAGGGGCACGGAACACCTTTTGCAGATAACACCTTTCTTTATTTTGTGGTTTGATTTGTCGACCAAATGAAAAATAAAATTTATTTGTGATTTGCTGCGGATAATTTAATTCTGCCACTCAAAAACGATCAAAAAATGAAATTAGGCCGCGTGGGCATAATTCATTTTGCCAAGTAAAATTAGGCCGCGCGGAAATAATTCATTTGGCAAGTGAAGTTAGGCCGCGATCAAAAAATGCAATTAGGCCTCTAAACAAATAAGGCGGCCTTAATTCAAAATCTCATCGCCCGTTCATTTTCACATGAAATTTTTTAAATGGCACCCTTTTTTCTCATATTAATTAATGCCTAGTGGGAATTCGGCTTAACACTTTATATACATACACAAAAAGCTGCGCTGGAATTGCTCGATGATGCATTAAGATTTTGTGTTCCATCTATTTGTCGTTTGGCTTGTTAATACATGCTTTCGGCACGCTATAGAACATCTTTCGACTGCGAACTACGGGCCGGTTTTTCAGTACCAGTTTAAAGTTAGGTCACGTAAACTGCGTTTAAATTGAACAGCTTGCTGACATCTGATTGGCTAACTTTAGTTTAAACCAGCCAGCTCAAGCGTTTAAACTACCGCGGTGTACTGAAAACCTGGCCCTTATTGGTCTTGCTCATTATTTTTTATTGAAAGCATCTTCAAACATGTACGTACATTTGTGCACACCTATTGTTGTTGTTGTAGTGGCTACAACAACCCCGCCCAGATCGGTTGGTATCTCAGTCGTTGTCGTCAAGTTCCACTAACGGCAACCCTAGGAAGCGTGCAGCTTCTGTGGGATTTGTCCACAGGGACAAGGCCGTTAGGGTTGTCGGGTTTTCCGGGCATGCGAAGAGATGGTTCGAGTCATGTGGGGTCTCTCCGCATGCCGGACATTCGTTCGGCACATCCTCATTCAACCTACTCAGGTAGGAGTTTAACCTGCTGCAGTAGCCGGAGCGAAGTTGTGCGAGTGTAGTGCGTGTCTCCCGAGGCAGATGAAGCTCTGTCTCGTCTATGTCCGGGGGTGGTATGCCTAGAACGGCATTCACAGGTCTAGAGTCTACATAACTCGAGACTGAGTCCCTGTGAATGCCGTTCAGGGCCTGTCTGTACGCTGTCGGGTCCAGAGGTTGCTTAATGAACCTCTGGACTTCGTCCGTCAGTTCATATAGATGCCTCCTGACGTGCCTAGGCGAGAGCTCCTCTGCAAGCAGCTGTCTGCTTGGGTGGCCACTTCTGTGGCTCCCGATCAGGAACTGCTTGCAGAGCATTATATTATGCTCCTTAACTGGGAGCATTTGCGCCTCGCCGTGCAAGTGGTGTTCAGGCGACATCAGGAGGCATCCCGTCGCTGTCCTAAGTGCCGTATTTTGTACCGTCTGTAGCTTCGTCCACTGCGTCCTACTAGTCCCTGGCGACCACACTGGCGCTGCGTAGTTCAAAACCGGCCGGCCTATTGCCTTGTATGTTGCCAGCAACGTTTCTTTGTCTTTGCCCCAAGTACTGCCGGCTAGCGACTTGAGGACCTTGTTGCGGCTCTGCACTTTATTGACAATAGCGGTTGAGTGCGCAGAGAAGGAGAGCAGGCTGTCGAATGTTACTCCGAGTATTTTGGGGTTATTCACCGTCGGAATTGGTGTGTCATCGACGTGAATCCCCAGCGGTAGCCTGACCTCCTTCGTCCAGGTTGTGAACAGGGTCGCGGAGGATTTCGTAGGGGAGAGGGCTAGACACTTTGCAGTGAAGAAGCGAGAAAGTTCGGAGAGATAGCCGTTTACTTTCGAACACAGGTCATCAATTCCATTCCCAGTCGCCATGATCGAGCAATCGTCGGCATAGGAGACAATCGAGACTCCCTCTGGTGGTTGAGGGAGCTTTGAAATATAAAAGTTAAACAGTAGCGGGGAAAGGACACCACCCTGAGGAACCCCCTGTTTATTTTTCGCTGCTTACTCGTTTTGTCTCTAAATATTACCGATGAATGTCGACCACTCAGCTAATTTGCCGACCACCGTTTGAGCCTCTGTGGGAGAGAGGAGGCCTCTATATCTTCTAGTAGCGTGGAATGGCAGACGGTGTCAAACGCCTTTGACAAGTCCAACGCTACTAGAATCGTTCTCTCACAGGGACGGTTGCGGTTAAGGCCACGAGTTATCTGAGTGTTTATGGCGTTAAGTGCTGTTGTTGTACTGTGCACTTTACGGAAACCATGCTGATGCTTCGCTGGCGTAAGGTGGTTAGTGAAGTACGGGAGTAGCAAGGCCTCGAGTGTTTTCGCTACCGGGGAAAGGAGTGTAATCGGACGATACGAATCTCCTTTGTTGGC